TTAGTGACAATTTACTTGGTGCCCTTATATTCTTCAAGATAATGAATTTCTTCTGCTACATATTTAGCAGTTAGCTTGGAACAGGGATGGAGCCATCTCTATGCAGTTCATTGTATACTATAAGTTATCCTTCAGCAATAGACTGTCATTCAAACCTGACTCTGGCATTTAAAATATACTGGCTTCATTTTGAAGCTCATCACAGACTAGGGGGGAGTACCCCATTCCTTTGTTAACCAGAGGCTGACAGGCTTGGAGTCATATTTGTATATATTCTTTGATTCTTTTGTATTGCTATTGATGCATTATCTCATCTTCCTGGCTTCTTCCTCCTTCAGTGCAGATAATCCACCTCTCTCTGCCTTTTCATCCTATTTGATTCATATCCACATCCTTCCACAAATCCTCCACAAAAGACCTACACTTAGAAAGTAATCTCATAAACCCCACCCAGTTTTGTCCTTACTTGTTATACAACAATGTATAGGTTTCACATATCATTTCTCATCACAAATGTAATTAAACTGTAGTCCATAGACACTGTGTGGTGTGATTTGAGGCAGCTAGGTGGCATAGTGGATAAAGCAAGAAACTTGAAGTCAGGAAAACCAAAGTTTGAATCCTCCTCCATCTACTAGTTGTTTGGCCCTTAGCAAATCAAATTTGATTACAGCAAATTCCACCTCCCTTAACTTCAGTTTCCTCACCTATAAAATGAAAATAATAATAGCCCCTATTTCGGAGGGATATGATGATCAAAGGAGAGACATGTGAAGTACTGTATATACCTTAAAACCCATGTAAATGCTATTATTATTGTTGTTGTTATTATTACATGAAGAAAATCTTAATGACAAAAAAAATAATTTTTTTTACTCATTAACTGTCATAGTATCTGAAATTCTATCTTTATTGTATTCATTCCACTGAATCTTAAAGCTTTTAAGGTTCCAGGGGTTGCCTACTGAATCAATCAATCAACAAGCATTTATTAATATATATATATTTTTTTACACCCTTACTTCTCAATACTTCCATATTGGTTTGGTTGAACTGTCCCACACAGAATCCTGACTGCAAGGTCACCATGGCCCAGACTTCCAGTCTGGTACCACCAGCATCTGAAACTGAGGACAAATTAAATAGATCAGGACAAATACCTCAGACCATGTGGCCTAAAGGGAAAGAAGAGGGGGAGGTATCCCACCTTTGGGTTCAGTTTATGGTGCTGGGAGCTGTGGGTGAACTCTGTGTAATCTTTACCCTCTAGGATCAGCAAGAAAAGTGAGCAAGAAAGGGTGAAACTAAGGGGACTAGGAGATTCAAAGACAAAAATAAAGTAATTCCCTACCCTCAAAGAACTTGCATTCTACTGAGAGAGATAACATGAATGTATAAAATAAAAACAATTAAATTGGGAAAGGAAGCATATTTGAAATTCATATATCCTTTGTGGAGGGGATTACTAGAGGCAATTAGTGTATATCAGGCAAAAGACGATTTGGGGAGGAGGGAAGTGTTGAGGTACCAGAAAAAAAAATTAAGAAGTCAAGGGTGTGTGGGAAGAGGCAAAAAACAAAATTTAAACTACTTTATATTTTTGCCAGTGGCCAACCCACGCAATTTCTACTTGTCCTAACAACTAGGCAAGCAAGACATGACAAGCAGAGGACAGGACAAGAAATGCAAGTCACAAGAAGGGAAAGAGATAAATTATTGAAGGGAATAGAGTAGGAGAAAGCAAGACACTAGGATCAGGGTAAATGAATGTTATAGAAAAGGAACAAAGAAGAAGAACATGATCATAAAACATTATGAATGTTCTTTGGGAAATTTGTTTAAGATGATAGGACACAGACTTACACATAACTTAGAAAGAGAAGTGGGGAAACAGAGCACTGTTCTTCACCCATTGCCAATTTGGAGCACAGAGTGATTCTGCTTAAGATTCACAGGGAGTCATAGTTTGAATTTGAAAATTGATTGCTGTCATTTAAAATAGATTTCTGTCCCCAAATGTACACTTGAAGAGCTTTAAAAGTAGTATCTTTTCAGTAGGCCAAAATAGTTTTCTATTCCTTTAGAAGAGAACTAATTTTCATGATTTATAATTCAGTTATTCTTGATACTTCCATGTCCTTTCAAGACAAATGAAAAAGTCAGATATCCTGAAACAAAGAGCATATCACATTTAGTGTGTGTTGTAAGTCTTAAAAAAAAAACTGTTGTGGCTTATGAAAATCTCGGTATTTCAGAGAAAATACATTATCCATCCCACTCATTAAAGCTTAATACAGTGCAAAATGTCTAAATCAATAAGCATTTTCAGAAAAAATGTTTGGTTTTGCCTGAATTATTAGGAGAAAGTGTCCTAATGTTCAAAATACTTATTAAAAATCTGTCTATGATTTGTGGGAGGCACACCTGATAATCACTAATAATTAGGTTTGTGTCCTATCACTGAGGTACAGTCTAACTTTCTAAGCTATTTTATCAGCATTTACCTTTGTGACATACCCTTATACTTCATGATTAGGGCTCTTTTCTTTATGAAAGGAGTATATTTTTTGGATTCCAGTTCTACTCATGACAAGGTATAATAGCCTATTTTCACTGATTAGTCCTCCAAAAGATGTGGAATACACTGTCCAACCAAAGGCTAAAGCTAATTTTAAATTTTATTTTCCTGAATCATAGATCTAGATACCCTACCACCTACAAAATACCTTCTCCCATAAGGAGATAAATATTGAAACCAGAAAAAAAAAGTGGAAATGTCCACATTGGCTTTGCTTGGAAGCTCATAAAATTTGGCATAGGACCTCAAAAAGAGTGATATACATAATTAGCAATTACTGAGGTTGAGAATATTTTTCATTCTATTTGTAAATCATTCTTAATCACACGTATCATTAGAATAAAGGAACATTTTTCTAATTTTTCTCCCCCTCTTTTTAGGCAAAAATTATTGGTAAAATACCACTAACCTTTGATCAAGAGGTTCTGCCACTATCCATTGGCCCAAAGGAGGTCAGTGGAGAGAGAGAGAGACTGACAGATAGACAGAGAAATATTTGTAGTAGCACTTTGGTAATAGTAAACAAGTAGAAGACCATCAGCTGGGGACAAATATCACATATGAATCTTAAGGCATATCACTGAACTGGAAGAAGTGACAAATATATTGCAATAAGGCTTGATCGCTGAACATGGAGTCACCTTACTTCTAGGAGGGGTTTTCCTGCCATCCTGCATTCTGCTACCACATAGATGGAAGTAGACTCCTTTGGTCACAACAGGATATATGTATAGCACTGACAGTCACGAGCAGTCTTTCTTGCTAACTTCTCTTGCTGATCCTAGAGGGTAAAGATTACAGAGTTCACCCACAGCTCCCAGTACCATAAACTGAACCCAAAGGTGGGATATCTCCCTTTCTTCTTTCCCTTTAGGCACGTGGACTGAGGTATTTGTCCTGATCTGTTTAATTTGTCCTCAGTTTCAGGTGCTGGTGGTACCAGACTGGAAATCTGGGCTATGATGACCTTGGAGTCAGGATTCTGTGTGGGATAGTTCAGCCAAACCTATTGGAAGCATTGACAAGTCAGGGTGTAAAAATATACATAAAATATAAATATAAAAACTATTTTAAAATGCTCTAAATCATCATTGATTAAAGAAATGCAAATTAAAAGAGCCTTGAGATATCATTTTATACCTACCAGATTGGCTTAAATGATAGAAGGGGAAAGTAACAAATGTTGGAGGGGATGTAGAAAAATTGGGAAATTACTGCATTGTTGATGAAATTGTGAACTGATCCAACTATTTTGGAGAGCAATCTGGAATTAGCCCCAAAAGTCATTAAACTACCCAGCGATACCACTACTTGGCCTATTTCCAAAGATGATTAGGAAAAAAGGAAAAGAACCTACATGTTCTAAAATGTTTATAGCCGCTGTCTTTGTGGTGGTAAAGAGCTAGCAATTGCAGGGATGCCCATCGATTGGGAAATGGCTGAACAAGTTGTGGTATATGATCATGACAGAATGCTACTGTGCTTCAAGAAATGACTATTTCAATGATTTTAGAAAAAAATGAAAAAGCACAAAATAATGAAGATCAAAATGAGCAGAACCAAGAGAACATTGTGTATAGTAACAGCAATATTGTTTCAAGAATGACTTTGAGTGAATAAGTTATTTTGTCTATTATAAATACCCAAATTAACTACAAAGAACATATGAAGGAAGATGCTATCTATATCCAGAAAAAGAATTGATAAATAGAAGTATGTATAGAATAATTTTACACACATATATATGCATATACATACAGACATATATATATATATATATACATATATATACATATATATGTGTATATATATATATATATATATATATATATATATATATATGCATATACTGATTTGTGTCTAATGGTAGCCATCTCTAGAACAGGGGGGAGGGGAAAAAAAGAAAAAAATTACATGATAATTTTGTTGTATATTTGAAAGGAATAGCAAATTTTGCATAGATTTGTAGTTTCATGTACAATCTTTTTTTAAAAATTGTACTATGTTATGAAAATGCTTGTTTTATTCCAATAATTAAAAATTTAAAAAAAAAGAATCAGGGTGTCTGTGACTCAAGCTCAAAGTAAGTTGTGGGCTTGGAAATGGGGACTGTGCTATATAGGAATTTAGCTGAAGTGTTAACTTAATCCTCTCCTCCCCAGAGATTAAGGTAGAATGGGATGGGATAGGAAGGGAGGAGTAGGAGGGTAAGTTCCACATGTTGGGGAATAAATTTGTATACTTGTGATTATACCTTTGAAGTAAGCATTTCTTTCTAAAAGCTAATCTAACTGTTAGTGGTTAAGTGGAACTGAGGTCCAAAGGATCACCCCTTTTACTTGAAGGAAAACTATTGGCAGAGGGCCTAAATATCCTCAATTCTGGTGAAAAGTAACTAACATACCAAGACTACAGGCAATGGTGGACCAAGGTAATCTGTTTCATGAGGAATACAGAGGAGTATGAGGAGACATATATAAATTAATGCAAAGTGAAGTAAGTGGAACCAGAAACACCATATACACAACTACAAAAGTGTAAGTGGACCACAGACAACAAACAATCAAAACTGAATGCTGTGGAATTACGGTGATCAAGCTTGGCTCTAAAAAAGCAGTATGAAAAGGTATCTCCTACCATTTCTTTGCAGAGGTGGGGAAATGTGAATGTGGAACACTGTAAATAAGGTCAGATATTTATCACATGTTCATTTTGTGGAAATGAGTTTCTCCTGTTCTTTGTCGTAGAACCTGACTCTTTGAAAGGGGAAGAGGATAAGATAAAATGGGAAATATGATCTATGTAGAAGTGAAATATATCAATACGATTTATTTTTACTCAGAAAGGAATAGATTACATAGCCTAAGTATTAGATTTCTCCGCTCCTTTCTTTTCTTCTTCATTTTATCTTTTTTTATTTCTTCCTTAAAAGTAGCTTCAAAATTTTTATTTTAATGCCAAAGAAAAGTGATGATCATCAATTAGGGAATGACTAAAAATATTGTGGTATATGAATGTAGTGGAATATTACTGTGCTATGAGAAATTATTTCTATCTTTCTTTTTCTTTTTTTTTTTAATAAGGGATGGCTGCCTCTTCCAAAAGAATTTATGGAAATGAGAGTAATTGAAAAACAAGACCAATAAAAATCTGAAAAAAATGGAAAACTGAAAATTCAAAATTATGTATGTGTGTATGTATGTATATATGTGTATGTGTGTGTATGTGTGTGTGCTTGTGTGTATCACTCAACCCACTGTAATTGGGAGTACCCAGATTCAAATCCTAGCTCTTCCACCTGACAAGTCATTTCCCCACACTTCAGTTTCCTCATTAATAATATGAGGTGAGGTTAGGGTTGAACTGGATGGTCTAAAACTTTTTTTAAGGTCTAAAACTCTAAAGCTAAGATCCTATGAAAATTCAGTGAGAATTTGTCTTCCCATTATCAATCAGTACTTACATGAGCTACTTAAGTAGCTCAATAAACATCTCCTTTTCCACCTGTCCATCAGGGAAGAGCCAGCCTCATGTATCCTGAATTTTATATAGCTGTTTAAGTATTTTGGTCTTTCTCATTAAAGCATATTCTTGTTCATGCATATAACATTCCCCCTATCCACTTGTCCTTCCTTCCTGACCTGCCCATGGTCACAAAGCTTGTATATGTCAAAGGCAGGATTTGAACCAAGGTGTTCCTGCCTTGAAGGCTAGCCTTCTATCCACTACACCATTCAGCATCTCATCTGCCATCTCCAGGACAGAAGTTACTGAGATTGGTTCTCCAGAGCTGTTTTTTTTAAAAATATATTTTTAGTGTGTGGGCTCAGGAAAAAAAAAATGTATGTATATTATATATATATATATATATATATATATAATATATATATATATATATATATATATACACATATATATATATATATACACATATATATATATATATATACATATATATATATACATATATACATGTATACATATACATATATATGTATATATATATGTGTGTGTGTATGTGTGTGTGCGTGTATATATATATATATAATATATATATATATATATATATATATATAGCACCAGTAATACAGATTGACTGAGTTAGCAGAAATGTCAGGGCTATGTCCCTAGTTTATCTGGGTATCCTTTAGTACTTTAGTTGTTTCCTCACATGAAAAATAAGACATAAATGATCTTATCTGCCTCTAGAGTTTTAGTAAGAAATGCATAATAAAAACTGTAAAGTACTTTGCCACTTAAAATACCCCTAATGATAATATCCTATCAGAGGTTCTGACTAGTAACCTTAAATAGCTGTTGGCTCACCTTAAAAAAAAGTTATCAAGAATTTTGTCATTCTATATTTGTAATCATTGAATTACCTCTCACATCTATTGGCTTTTTACAAATCTAAGCATCTGTCTGCAGTGTTCATTATTTGCTGCTTCCTCCATATATAGTATCATCCATCTGTGATAATCTCAGTTTTTCTTTGCTGCTGTGTTTTTTTTTTCTCTCCTGAGCCAGTTTTCTTCTTTTTATGAAGTTGTAAAGCTTCTGTTAACACATATTCCCAGAAGCAACGTTTGGGTTGTGCTTTAAGGTTCAATCCTATGAAGTCATTGCTTGTAGTGAGGGGATCATGTTCTCTGTGGTTTCTTTGCTTTTGGGGGCAAATAATTTAAGTAACTAGTATGTAATTTGCAGTGAAATATAATAAATCTATTTTTAAAAAAAAACTTTGTAAGCTTTCTGTTCAAATCTCATCAAAATGTAATTTTCTTCAAGAAAAGAAATAAACACTTTCAGGGAATAGTTTTGCAAGTTAGTGTATGGTAACTTGAGCCACTCAGAAAAGTAATATTGTATATGAGATGCAAGTAACAGTCAGAACACAGCCAAGCACTAGAAGCAGCTGTTGAAAGAAAAATAAAATTACTTTCTTCTTCAAAAGAAAAAGAATTTTATGATTGGAAACCCTACTGTGGCTCAACATTCATCTGTCAGTTCTTCTACTGCCGTCTGACCATGGCTTCCTCTAATTATAAACCAGGAAGGTAGAGAGAACAAAGTCTTCTGATCATTCAACACAGTATTAAGCTTTGTATAGTTCCCTATGCTAGGCATTTTAGAAAATATGAATACAAATAACATTTGCTCCCTGCCCTGAAGATTTATTTGGATGCTAAATGTTTACAATTAATACATAAGGCAATGCCAATAACATAATTGTAGAGGGGTGAGGTTATTCTATAAAATTATGTTGAATGCCTGCAGTGTTTATGTTCTGGGTACACTAGGGGATACAAAGAAATACAATAATATTTCTGCCTTCAAAGATATTCTTGCCTCATTGGGGATACAAAGTATATACATGTAAAACAGTTACATGTGTTTTTAATTAAGAGGAGAGTATTAGAGCTGGCTTGAAGCTTAACATGAAAAAAAGCTAGGATCTTAGCAACTGGTCCCATCGCTTTCTGGAAAATAAAGGGAGAAGAAGTGGAAGCAGTGTCAGATTTTATATTCTTGTGCTCAAAGATCACTGCAGACAATTACTTGAGCCATGAAATTTTAAAAAAATGCTTGCTCCTTGGAAGGAAAGTTATGACAAAACTGGACAGCATACTAAAAAGCAGAGACATCACCTTGGTGACAAAAATCTGTATATTCAAAGCTACCATTTTTCCGGTAGCAATGTATGGCTGAATCAATGCTTTCAAATTGTGATGCTGGAGAACACTTTTCAGAATCCCTTGGACAGCAAGGAGATCAATCAGTCAATACTTAGTGAAATTAATTCAGATTATTCACTGGAAGGTCAATACTGAACCTGAAGTTTAGATATTTTGGCCACATAGTGAGTTGGAAAAGGTTGAAGGCAAAAGGAATAGGGCATGGCAGAGGATGAGATGGATAGATAGTATCATGGAAATGGTGAACATGAATTTGGACAGACTTCGAGAGAGAGTGAAAATAAAAGTACCTGGGGTGCTATGCTACATAGGATCACAAACAGTTAGATACAACTGACTTAACACCAACAAAAATCTTTCAGTTAACAAGCATTTGGGTTTGTTTTCTCTCTTCTACTTCTTTCCATTGAAAAGAAATTGGAAACATTATAATAAACATACATAATCAAGGAAAACAGATTCCCACATTAGTGATACCCCAATAATATTTATCTGATTCTGCATATTGAATCCACACTTTTCTATCAGGAGGTTGGTAACATTCTTCTTCATCAGTCTTGTAGAATGGTAGAGAGTTTGCCGGGAGTGCCTGCATCCCCGGCTGTGGTCTGATGCTGGCAGAGTGTGAAGAGAGAAAGAAACTAGGGCCAGGTGAGAGCAGTGAAGAACAAACTCTGTTTATTGATCTGAGGGCTCAGGCTTATATAGTACTGGATCAAGCAACAGTAACATTATTATTCATGAAAAGTACAAATCTAATTAGGTGATTTCCTTACTTCCTTGTACCTTGTCTGTTACATTCTTTCCTGCGTCCTGTCCTGTATCCCATCCATTTCCTCCCTTCCTGCATCCTGTTCTCAAGAGATGGAACAGCGGGTTGGTGAGCCAACATCCTGAGTTTCACAGCTGTCAGGCTTAGTACAATCTGCAGGTAAGACCTGGGCTGGCATAAGCCCTCCAACACTCCAAAGCTGGCCCTCTACAAGAGTTACTTTCAAAGTTCTTTAATTCTTTCAAAATTCTTCACTTTTACAATATTGTTATTGTGCAACTTGTTTTCCACGTTCTGTTCACTTGACTGTGCTTCAAATCACACAAGTCTCTGAATCCATTGTTTTTATAATTTTAATGCCACAATAGAATATATTACACAAATATACGCTGATAATGATATTTTTTTCAGCCATCCGCCAATTGATTGTTACTCCCTTACTTTCTACTTACTTGGCACCAGAAAAGAGCTGCTATGTTTTGTACATATGGGTCTTTTCCCCCTTTCTTCAATTTCTTTGGAGGATAGGACTTCACCAATATTGTACTAATACCCTGATGAAAAGGTATGCAGAGTTTAGGAACCTTTCAGTCATTCCAAATTCCTTTCCAGAATGACTAGAACAATTGATAGTACTCCCAATGGAATGTTACTGTTCTTTCTCCATGGCCTTTACAGTATTTATAGTTTTTCCTTTTTTGTCAACTGTGCCATTCTGATAGGCATAAAGTAGATTCTCAGATTAAATTTTATTTTAAGTAATTAAAACAACCAAAATGATTACCTGAAAAATATCTGGAATATATCTCTATCCAAATGTCTATCCTTTTCTAATTTTAAGTATTGGAAATTCTTATTTTAGTTGATTTTTCCATAGATTCAAAGAATCCTAGCATTGAAAAGGGGTCTTAGAGGTTGTGAAGTCCCAAATTAGTATTATTTGATGGTAAATTGGCTCAAAAAACTGAGTCTATTTACCTTCTGTGTGGTCAACACATTTTATATATCTTGTTTTGCTTCTGATCTTAGATTTCTGTTTCCTAGTAACTGGTCTTCCTTAGCTCTGATTTCCACATCCTTATGAGATAAAGCACATATGTACCACTTCTCCTAAGTTCCTCCCTCATGCCCTTAAAGATACGCCACAAAGCCAGGTTC